GGAGTATTCACACTTTGATGATGGTTGAATTCAAGTTGTGGAGAGGAATGTTATGTGCTTATGTTGTGATTGCTATGAGGTTGTGAAAAGAAAAAGAATGGGAAAAAAGTGAAAAATAAAAAGAAAAAAAAATTGAAAAAACTTTGAAAAAGAAAAACAAAAAGAGTTCGAATAATTATGCTAATAAGTGATGTGTGTTGGTTTGAAATTTAGAATGAAGAAGAAGTTTGATTGAAATTATTTTGCTTGAGACTTTGTGAGTTGATCACTTCCTTAGGTTTAGGCAAGTTTTTGTTTCAATTAGCTTTAAGATTTATCCCTTTTTTGTTAACCAAGCCACATTACAACCTTGAAAATCCCTTGAGATTCTTGCCTTTGTATGTTCAATGTAAATTTTTGGATGAATGCATAATTTAGTCTTTTGTTTGCAAGATTGTGGATGAGTAAAAATACCTTACTTTGTGTCTTTTTCATCTACCAATGATTGATTTTGCTATGTGTGATTCATTTGTGAACTAGTATTGTTTTAGAATGTTTGGCATGTTCTTTGTATTTAGCATCTGTTTCATGTTTATGTTATCGTCGTAGTTTAGTGATAAGTATGTTTCTTCGTGTGTACCGTTTTTCATTTAAACCATTGTATTTGTTTTCCGTTTTCAAAACTTGTTGATTCATGATATTTTGGTTGATTACTTTTGGTTCTTTGAGTTGTTTGGCTCTGTTTGGGGCAAACAAGTTCAAGTTGGGGAGAGTTTGATAAGTGCAAATTGTAGCTATTTTTGTATATACTTTTTGTTGCACTTATTAACTTTTTGTTGTTAATATCATTGAATAAACCCGACTTTTATGTAAATACATTTAGTTTGTGTTTATTTGTGTTTTTGTGTATATAGTGTATCGTTTGATGTTTTTTCATTCATTTTGTAGGTATTTGTTGCATTTTAAAGCATTGAGGAATAAAGTGTCGAAGGCACGGCTCCGGATGTGCATTTTCGGAATAAAAGATCAGTTTTGTCTAGGAGAGCCCGCTTAGCGCAGAGGCTGCTAAGCGTGATTGTGCTCAACGCATTTTGTAGCGCGCTGCTTGCGTTTGACATTTTGGAAGAACCAATGTTTTCAAGCCCTCTTAGCGCGGTTTAGGTCGGTTTGATGTGTAAAATAAGGAAGTCGCGCTTAGCACGGTCTACTGAGATTTATTTTATAACTTCATTTCATTCATTATTTAGGTTATGGTTTTGGGGAACTTTTTGCTCCCAACTTCATCAACCTTTAATTTTGTTAGGATTAGTTTAGTTAACAACTATGGAGCTTGCATACGGATGATCCGGGGTAAATTACTCTTCGATCGGCGCTGACAAACCGGTAGATATGTGGTTCATTTCTATTTTTCTTTGTGTATTCTCTATTGGTTAGGTTTGTATGTATATTTTCTTTGTACTGATGTATATTTGTCGCCCTTGGTGTTATATAAAACTTGCTTTACGAATCTTTATGGATTATTGTCCTAGAATTTTGCTCTGTGCTAGGGATTTGAGTTGTTATAGACATATACTGCTTAGATTCTTATCTAGGATGATTATCTAGTAGTGTCTGAATTCTAGAGATAGATTTAACGATGTTATTCACTTAGGGTATCTGAGATTAATGCCTATGTGTTGTTCGTGTCGCTCTGAGAGATCGTCGACGCAGGCGAGCACAATTGACTTTTGTGATGTTGAGGTGGTTGAGATATTTCTACCGAGGTGATGCAGTCGAATTCTAAATTTGGATTAGAAATGACTTAGGTTGTGAGTGACATGTGATGATATTGATGAATATTGTAGGTTGAGTATAACAGTTCGATAGGTTTAAGTCTGCGAGAAGTAGTATATGCACGCTTGATAAGTTATTCCTTTTTCCTTTTTATAAATTTATTTTTTGTTGATAACATTTTATTTTCAACCCATTTAATCCCAAACTCATTAATGAATGATTTTTTGAACGGCGAATCAATAATCAATCTTTGTGGATACGATACGATATAACTTATATCATCCGGTAAATTAATAACTTACTTTTTGCTTACCGCTCTACTGCAGCAACACGTACCGACGCGGTTTGGGACACATACCCGACCCTAATCTGACCTTCCTTGTTGTCAACCATTGCACATGCGTCATAAACAGAAAAAGATATAAACAGTATGTCCACTAAATGTCCCAATTTTTTAAATGAGCTCAATCCGAAGATGCATCTCCAAAAATAGTTCAAATAAAATTTGGATATGCATCTCCGTATAAACCTGCAATTTTAAGTATGGGTGTACATGGGTCGGTTTGAGTTGGATTTAGCCAAAACCATAACCCAATCCGTACATGGTACACCAGTTTGGATGAGGTAAAATAATCACCCGCAATATTTTTGGGTAGATTTGGGTAAAACCACAAATTTATGGGTTAGATTGGGTTGAGTAATGAGTTACTCAATTTTTGTCTTCCTTATATAATTATTAATGATGTGTCACAATTTTTTTTAATAAATAGTTTAACATATTACCGTTATTTTTTTAAACATCAAATGTCTAAATGTACGATAAAATTCATCATAAACATATTTGTAAAAATCAAAGTTACATTACAATAATACCTAGAATTGCATAAAATACTTACAACTTACAAGAATTAACATCAAAGTAATCAAAGTGTGACATACCCAATTATTTTGAATAGTTTTCATTTATTAAAATCGTATTATTATTATAATATGGACTTATTTCTCCACTTACTCACACTTGTATTATTATTCTAACGTATCTCATCAAGTGTGGAGATCAAGTGTGAGTCCACAATGCTCCCCCTCAATACACTTGTATACCTTGCAACAAGAACACCTCTTCTTAGACATTTTGATACTAAGTCGAACCCTTTCTCGAACTAAAGGCTCTGATACCATTTATTTGGGGGAGTTACTAGGAGCATCTTCTTGGGCATTTCGATACTAAACCGCACCCTTTCTCGAACCAAAGACTCTGATACCATTTTCTTTAGGAGGGTTACTAAGAGCATTGATATAAAGTTGAAGAGTATGCACCTTTGTGAGAGACACACCACTTGTTCACCTAAAACCTTAAGGTGATAGGTGAGCGAGTTCTCCCGCTTAAAAATGTTAAAGTCACCATATTCTTATTCAATGTGGGACTATTTCTCCACTAACTCACACTTATATTATTATTCTAACACACTAAATCCATGTACACCCCTAATTTTGAGCTCTCATGGCATACCCGTTTTCTGTCATAATAGTCCCAAAAAACATCATTGTATGTTGTTCAAACCTACGAAAGTTGTTTACACTACTACATAAAAGTGTCTAAAATATCTAATGTATTCTAGAAATCTAACTTAAAATCAAAACATAAATAAAAATATTGAAAAACTTAACAAAATGGAATTGATTGATGAGAAGTTGTTTCAATGTTATGAGATGATGGAAATGAGGAGAAAGAGCTTCACTGATGCTTCTATGCAGTGCTTCAAAACTTCAATGCAATGGTTGTGAGAGGGGGAATGCAAGTGTTTTTTTTTAGTAAATGAAGAATGAGAAATAGGAAGGAGTTTCGGCGCTGGTTAATGAAAGAAAGCGTTTGGAGATGCATCTTCGAATCATCAATACGTTTTTGAATAAATGATATTTACGGAGATGCATCTTCGAGCATACTTTTTTCACATATAGAGATACAACTCTAAATTAAATTTTAACGTGAAAGTGATGCCTCTTCAATTTTGTCTGAAAAATGATGAAAATAAATGCATTCGAAGATACATTTCTGGACATTAGGAACATAAGGACTTCTCATGATAGTGTGAAAACACTTATAAAAATGGAAAGAACAATTTCCTTATAACAAAGCTTGGGGTTGGAGCTATTGGGCAAAGGATTTATAAAAGGGGAGTAAATTAGGGAGATAACTTGCAATGTGAATGTGAATGTAAGTGATCCTCCCCAGTTTGATATTATTGTTAAAAGAGTAAATACAATGATAGTTGGTAATGTTTTCCTTGTCTAATCTCTCCTTGAGGTTGTTTGTTTTCCTTTATATCGTAGATAAAGAAACTAATAAAACAGACTTAGCAGTTTAAGATAAATATATCATGCTTGGACATTTATACTTTGATTGTGAGTTTGGAGAAAAAGGGAATGGATAGTTCTGGAAAAAAAAGGATTAAGTGGAAAAAAATTAAGTGAATTGTGAGTTTAATTTTATTCATACTATAAAAACTCTCTAATTTAAAAGAACTCAAACTGTAATAAAATAAAACTTTAAAAAATTTTAGAGGGATTAAATAATTTTTTCAATTAATATTGTAAAAAATTATTTAAAATATATTAGATTCATACGAAAATCACTCTTATGAAAAATGTTAATCATCTTGAAACCTTCTTTCCTAGTTCCGAAACAGATGCTTCAAAAAACTTAACCTAGCACATTTCAGACCCTACTCTCTAGAGACTAATCATATTAGCTTCCTAATTTTTAAAATAAAATAAAAAGTTTTGCAAAACATTAAAACGTTTAAGGACAATACTTACTGCACATTTTGCTTATGTACGTTACCATTCTTCACTTGAAATACACGTATCGAATATAACTTATAAAAAAATATCAGACTTGAACAGATAATTGATGGTTATGAATACTTTAAGTGAAGAACATCAATGAACACCTAAGGAAATACACCTAAGTTGTCATAATAATAATAATAATAATAATAATAATAATAATAATAATAATAATAATAATAATAATAATAATAATAATAATAATAATAATAGTAATAGTTTTAATCCAATTAAAACAAAATGTGAAATCACTATTAACAACCCTTCTGTCATTCAAATTAAAAATGCAAGTTTTACAGAAAATTGACTATAGATATTCCCTGCCATTTGCTGACAGACATGCATGCTCAACAAACAAAACTCAGGAAAATTGGGGAAGGGGGAGCTGAAAAAAATTTACACTAAAATCCCAATAGACCAAATGGCACTTCAAACACATGCCGACGCAATTCAAAATGGGAATAACAGAAAACTTCATCACCACTTAAAATAATGAAACCAACAAAATTTGGATGATGATAATAGTTGTTGGAATATCTTTGTTGCAATGCAATAAGTATAATTGACAGTAGGGCGATGATAACAGACCACTCAAATGTTGCAAAAGGCCGATGCTTCAGACAGTAAGGCCCAACGGGATTGCAGCACAAAGTCCTGAGACGTAAAAAAAAATGCATTATTAGAGATTACTTTTTTAACTCAATAATCATGACCCAAAAAAGTAACATAAATTTCTTTCACTCCAAACTTGAGAACAGGAGAGCAAATTATGCCTTTTTCATTCATACCTTTCACATGCATATTTGCTTTTTAATAGTGTCATAAGTCCTCTCTTACTCACTTACTACCCACCAAACAAAGGGGAGAGAAAAGAAAACACTTTCTTTTCTTTTTCACTCAAACTAAACAATTTATTGTCTTTCTCACCTCCAAACTACTGATAGGTAGCAGAGAAACAAGTTTGCAGCCAGTGAAATCATTATATAAAGATTGATTAAGCATTAAGTTAAAACAAAAAAAGAATGAGAAAAGCAATGAGAAGATATTTAAATACTAAAACTTTTGGACTAGTTTGTAGATTTAAGCAAACGAAATGAATTTACACTATGGAGGTCAAAGATGGGCAAAAAAACAATAAGCACAATCAAATCCAAAGAAAATAATTCTCAAGTACACAACTTACTCAAACTAAGGAGATGTTGTAAGTGTTGCAAAGTTGTAGCAGTGCTGTCTGATTCTCAGGATCCACATTTTCACTGATGACTTTAGAGTACCTACCAGGGGAGCGTGCACAAAGTTGGGACAATGATGCAACAAAAAATTCCCGGGGATCTCTTATATCTTGAAGTGGATCCTCTACATTCTTTCCAGCATTGTGAAGGCGGACAAAAGCAGCAGTGTAACCCGCATTTTCTTCAATATCTGGCATGTCAGTTTCATCCTCAACCCTATCTTGTTCTTGCCGGGAAAGAAGTGTCACAATACTGTCCACCATTTTACCCCAGGACACAGAAGCTGCAGGATCCAAAAGGACTGGAGACTCACAAATGAGTCTGGTTGAAGCAACTGCAGTCAGTTTGAGCTCTATATTTCCCGTAATATACTTAAGATTAGGAATCCAGAACTGGGTCAAAATCGCACTAAATATATCAGGCTGGACAGTGTTCATAGTATCAATTACATTTGAAGAACCATGTTTAACCAGAAAGAGTGAAATGAATATCAAGAGAGACTTGAGGAGCTTTATTGGCCGCTTTTTCTGGAGCTCTCTAAAAATAGCAGCCCAAATGTGAGAAATATAAGGCTTAATAACAGCATGCGGAAGACTCTCAATGACAGTGTTAAGCACATAAAATCCTTGTTCAGAAGTGCTTGAAGATTGTATCAGTGTGTCAAATATGCCAAGTACTTTGGTCAATCTAGCCTCTTGGCTGATCTCATTTGGTGCCTTTTGAAGGAAAGCCTGGAGTAGACGCACAAGGGCAGGAACATTTGAGGCTCTTTTCCAAGAGTCAGGCGACAAAAGAATCTCAAATATCTGCATGTAGATTGGTGGGATGGGTGGTCTGTTTAACTCAACAAGCAGAGCAAGCAACTGAAATGTGTATGGGAAAAACTCAGTTACATCATTGGACAATATTATTTCAAGCCTGGGAAAAAGGCTAGTTTCAAAAACAGACACAAGAGATGGGTCCCTCTCAGAGGCTCGCTTCACAAGAACGGCTACTGACTCAAAGAGATAATGATTGAAAATAGGATTTTTAGGATTTTTGCAAACTTCAGAAAGAAGTGAACCCAAACCCTCAATGCATATTCGAGCAACATCAAGTGGTATATCTGCAACCCCAAGAACTCTCACAATACATTTCATTACATATTGATTCTCTTCAGACTCTGGGAGCTTAAAGGCACTGAAAAGATTGTTCATCAGCATTGGGAATATTGGACTGATATCTGCCGAACTATAACGTGCTACACCTCCCTCATCCTTTACCAATAAGAGTTTCTCAATACAGCTAGCAGCATATGAATGAACAACATTTGATTCCGCAGCAAGGAAACGAACCAAATCCGGTAAAAAGTTTAATGCAACGTGTTTCGATATTTGAGTCCGGAACATGGTAAAGAATTTGAGTGCACCTGCCTTAAGCATCGGATAACCATTCACATCCTGACTTTGCAACTCAGGGACAATCACAGATTCAAAAAAGCTTTGAACATTTACAAGATCTGGAGAGACATAACTGGTTCCAGCCTTTTTGGTTGAAAGAGAGAATACCAAGTATATTGCACAATCCTTATCCTTCCAGTTCCCTGCCGGATTTGCAGCAAAGGAACTTAACAAACTCTGTATTTGCCCAGAAACAACATTTCTTACAGCATCTCCATAATGTGTGGCAATTCCCTTAAGCAGCTCACAAGCAATCCTCCTGCGTGTATCAACATCACTTCCTTCCATATCCCTCCTAATATACTCAATATGATTCATCTCAAACAGCTCCTCATCATCTTCCCTCAACCTCACATTAGGGATCACAATGCCCTGGCAAATCTGCGGTATAATCCCATCAGCAGCAAACAAATTGTGGTGAACACTGGTGCTAACTGTGGTCAAAAACTTGATAGCTGTTACAGCAAGTTGATCCCGACTAGTCGACTGTGACACATTCCCCAACAAAGTCCACACAGCAAGTGCAAAATCATTCAAGAAACCCTTAAACTCCTCCTCATACTTTTCCATATAAAGATTAATATTCTCACAAACAGAAGCCCTAAGTTCATCCACAAGAGCAAGACCATCAGGTCCACTACCCTCAAGAGAAGGATAACTAGTAGTAAGGTATTTTCGAAACTCAGTCATCCATTCCCTCATGTGATCCTCAAAGAACTCAGGGAGCTCTTGTTTATTCAACGACAAAAATAAACTACAACACAATTTCTGTGACTCAAACAGTTGTCGCAGGTTTGCCACAGGCGGTGGCGGTGCTGCAGTAGCAGCAGCGTCAATTAACGAGGCAGTCTTGAGAAAAATTTCAAGCAAAGGAGCAGCGAAATTAACGAGACAATACTTCAAATCAATCCAGAGATCATTGGAATGAGACTGGACACGAAATTTCCCGAAAATTGAATCAGCAGTACCTAGAATACCGTTAATGGAAGTGTAATCGTTAACCTGAGATGCATTGTGGAGACTAGCGACGAGTTCAGGGAGTAACGTAGGCCATGCTTTAGGGAAATCGTGTTTTCCGATGATAGCTAGGGCTTCGCTAAGCTGAGATTGGATTCTTGGAGAAGCGGAGAGCATGAGAGGGACGATTAGGGTTTTGATCTGTTCCTTCTCGGCTTCAAGGATCGAGCTGTCTTCTAGCGCCCATCGGAGACGGAGGTGGTTTTTGAAGTTGACGGCTGCGGATTGACGGATCTGATCATCGACGGCTGGTTCGGCGACGAGGCGGAGTACGACGAGGCCGAAGTTGGGACTGTTGGCTGCTTCGGAGAGGGAGGATTCTGCTTGGCGGCGAGGCTCCGGTACCGGAGAGAGAGTGTTGACGAAGCATTGGGAGAGGAATTGAAGAGTTTGAGGGTTCCATTCCATGGTGGTTGTGTGAGCTCTGCTAGGGTTTTGGGTTTTGGAAGTTATTGAACAGAGAAATTGAGTGAGGGTTTGGAGAGGGAAATCAGAGAGAAAATGTGGGATTTTGAACGAGGGTTAATTCCGCTATTACTAAATCTTGTTTATAGTAAAATAGATTATTATCAAAATTATCTTAATGATCTAACTAAATCAGTTTAAAGATGATTTTTCATATATTTAAATGTCATTACAACTAATAATTATCAAACTAAATTAGTAAGAAATTTATGTTATCGCACGAATTTGAAGTCACGTTACACGTCTATTAAACTATTATTTATAAAATTTATCTTTATTTATTAAGTTAATTAATATTCATATAATTTTAAATATAAACTAATAATATACACTAATTTTTAAATATTGATCTATAATTATAATAAATTGTACAATAAATTTTCTAACTTTAATAATATAAAACAGAAAGAAAAGAAAGATTTAAGATATAAATATTAAAATGAATTGTCTATAAATAGTAACACATACATAGATTGACATCAATTTGTAGATATATATTTTTAAAAATCTTCATTACAATGAACCATCTACGACTGTTAAATTAAAAAAAAAAAATCTTAAATTAATATATTTGATCAATAGATCAGTAAGTTGTTAATTCGATTTTATTAAAAAAAAATCTATAATTTAATTAAAAATGAATTTCATAATGACTTTAATATAAAACAACAACTAAAAAAAAATTATTATATGAATATTAAAATGAAAAAGTCTACGGTTGATACTTTATATTTATATATATATATATATATATATATATATATATATATATATATATATATATATATATATATATATATATATATATATATATATATATATATATATATATATATATATATATATATATATATATATATATATATATATATATATATTTATTCCCGTTTAGAAAAATATGTGTAACCTCTTATCATTTTTAAAAATAATGATTTTTACCGTTTATAAATATATTTAAAACTTATTCCCATTTTTAAAAATATAATTGTATCAATAATAAATTTTTTTCGTTTATAAAAATATTTGTGACTGATTTTCATTTATAAAAATAATTGTATCAACAGTAAAAAATTTCCCATTTATAAAAAAAAATATTTGTAACTTATTATCATTTATAAAAATGATTGTATTAACAATAGACTTTAGTTATAAGCCTCGGAGAATGTCATACATACCTTCATTAGCAGTAAACTTTACTAAAAAGAGTTTGCTTGTATGTAATATTATTTTTATTTTAATATTATTTAAACAAAAATTATTTTCTTATATTTTGACCAAAAATATTATTTTTCCCGTATTTAAATCCCGTCACATATTTTTTCAACCATTGTATAAATTTGAATAAGTAATAAATATTTTTCTCTTATTTGAATTATTAATATTTGTTTCCATATTTATATCATTGACAATTTTTTTCTCGTAATTAATTATATGAATTTCAATAAATAACATATATCTTTCTCATTTTTGGATCGATAATATATTTATTTTCCTATAATTATAAAAATAAGAAAAAATATAAAA